ATATAGATTAAGGGTGGGAATCATGTGGCCTTTGGGTGGTTCAGCATGGCCCTTGGAACCCATGGACCCTAACCCAAAAACCACAGCGCACACTCCTTTTTTCCCCAATCTATAAACATATCAACAGAGTTGAAATTAAATATGCTGTGTTGGGAAGTTCCTCCACCCCAAAAGAGCAAAACACCCCTCAAAAACCAAAAGAGAGGTAGAATTCCTTCTGCATCTGCAACAGCATAGCTGCTGATTTCTGGAGCAGCTGAAAATTGGCAGGTGCTAGGAGAGAAAGAAATAGAGATCGATATAGACTGATGGGTGGGTGTGGGTGTGTATAGGATGATACTGAATGTTCTGCTTCCACAGCCTTCAACTAGTTATGGATGTTACACCATGGTAAAAAAAAAAAAAAAAGTCCAATTGCCTGTGTAGGGAAACTTAATGATACATAAGTCACTAAGAGGATGCCAGCCATACATCCAGAAATCATCACTATAATTGCACTATAATTGCAACATCTCACTCTAGTGGGGGAGAGTACACCATCATCTCACCCTAGTGGGGGAGAGTATGACTTGGTGAGCTGGGTTATAAATGCTAGCGAATAATTTCAAAGTCCCTGTTTTCAATTTCTTTTGGTGGTTCTTGATGTAAAAAAACAGACTTGGACCAAAGAACCCTTCAGACAGAGGGTGCCTTCAAATAGAACCCTGTCCATTTGGGACACATGGCCAGCATGTGTAGGACAGCAACAACTGGGTATCATGTAGAAGATGGAGCAAGTTTGTTTTAGATTGCTCTAGAACATGAACCGATGGATTTTAATTACAAGAAAAGAGTTTACACTTAAACATCAGAAAGAACTCTGTTTACTGTAAGATATGTTTGATAATGGAATGTATTCCTTCAGAGTGTGGTGGACTCTTATTTTTTGGAGGACTTTAAACAGAGGTTGGATGGGTATCTTTCAGGAGCACTTTAGTTATGTCTTCCTGCATGGCAGGGGTTTGGACGAGTTGGCCCCTGTGGTCCTTTCCAACTCTAAAGGTTTTATAATTCTAATAATAATTTCTATAATTCTAATAATAATTTCCCCGTGGACTGAAGCAGGAAACAATAACAAATGAGAAACTTAACACCAGTTGAAAGAGCATATAAAATCACTATGTATTAAAACAATCAATAGGTATTTAAAAATTCATAATTTAAAAATTATTGGGATAGGTAACAAGCAATACCAGCTGAAAATCTCTCTTCTAAACAACCATAACAGGTACAGGGGCCCTCTCCAGTTTTTACATTGGCAACCCAAGGTGAGAGAGAAAGAATCTACAAAGAGATAAGTGTGTGTGTGTGTGTGTGTGTGTGTGTGTGTGTGTGCACACACTCACATCTTCAAGTCACCTGTTAATTTATGGTGACCCTCAAGGAATACTCAGAGATAGTTTTTTTCAGTTCCTTCCTCTCAAATATCGCCTACAGAACCTGGTATTCATTGGTGGTTTCCTATCTAAGTACTAATCAGGATCACCCTGCTTAGACTCCAAGAGCAGATAGGTTCTGGGGTCTTAAGGGTATTTAGGGATAATGTAGTGTTGTTGTCTAAGCACAACACTAAATTCACTCTGGAGATCAGAGTTCAGTTCCCTGCTCAGCTATGGAAACCCATTAGTGAACTTGAGTGAGTCACATATTCTCAGACCCAGAAAACTCCACGATAGGTTTGCCTTAGGGAAACGACTTAAAAGCACCCAACAACAACATAAATATTCTACTTCTGTCTATGGTTGTGAAAGATGAACAGAGAAAATCAGATGGATTAAGGCCCCAAAGAGGTAACTTTTTGTTGTGTGCCTTCAAGTCGTTTCTGACTTATGGCAACCCTAAAGCAAACCTATCATGGACTCTTCTTCTTTGGAGGACATTAAACAGAGGTTGTATGGGCATCTTTCAGGAGCACTTTAGTTGTGTCTTCCTAAGGCAAACCTATCATGGGGTTTTCTCAGAAAGATTTGTTCAGAGGAGGTTTGCCATTGCCTTCCTCTGAGCCTGAGTGCATGTGATTTATCCAAGGTCACCCAGTGGGTTTCATTGCTGAACTGGGAATCGAACCCTGGTCTCCAGAGTTGTAGTCTAACACTCAAACTGCTCTGCCATGCTGGCTATCGCAGGTGGGAAATGTTCAGTGTTGCATACCTGTACTCTAAATTACTCTAAATTTTACTCTAAATTAGGAGTGAGTAATGAATGGAGAGCTGTATTATTCACTCTTGAATTCACTGGAAATCATACTCTACCCTGCCATGCTGCTGAAGTTGCAATGACAGCAGTAAAATGCTCCCTCCCCCTTGTACTTTGCCCTTAAAAGAAGGCACACATTTCCCATACATGCTTGTATGTAGCCCATGAGCCACCCATGTTGTAAATGTTGAATGTCCCTTCTCTGATTTAAGCATCTTTGAGGAAGACCCAGATTTTAAAAAGCCCCCATGGGGAATCTCATCTAAAGGAAATGGATGTTTTCACAAGAGTTGGGAAATCTGTCATTCCTGCAGCACAGTACCGCTTTCTGTTTCTAGAGGTAAAAGCAGTTGACTCTTTGGACCTTATCACACGCTGCTCTCAAAAGTGGCAAGAAAGCGATATGAGCATCAATCCAGTACTATAGCGCTAGTATAAATATGGCGCTAACGCTATAATAGCGCTATGGATCAGCTCGCGCTATTGCAATGCCCGCTGAAACCGACATTCAAAAGAGTGAAAATGATGCTGCATTCCGAGCGGTTTCTTGTTGGATTCTGAGCGACGTCGTGTAATCGCACGGAAAAATATAGCGCTATAGCGCCTGATTCTTAGCGGATTCCGAGCGACATCGTGTGATCACGCGGGAAAAGATAGCGCTATAGCGCCTGATTCTTAGTGGATTCTTGCTGCTTTTGGCCCCGTGTGATAAGGTCCTTTATGATGTGACCATTTATTTCCAGTCTGCTATTGTGGGATGGGTGTGTGGCCTAAAGAGGTAGGTCGTGGCTTGTAAGAGCCGAAAAGAAAAGAAAACCTGCGCAAGTAAACAATTAAGGGGCTAAATGCAGTAGTTGCACTGCTGTGGTCTAAGTGGTTTTCTAAATAGGTTGTGCGTTATATAATTGAATGTTTAAGTGTGACCTGCTGAGCTCATCCAACTCCTTCTGTGCTGGGACCTACACATCTATTTTTTTTCCTGCCTTGCCATGCTGAACAGAGGTCTTTGTAAGAGATACATACATAGTACCTTCCATTTCCTTTATAAGAGAGATTAGGAAAGTTTGGTTTTTGATTGTGAGTATGTGTGTGTATATATGTGTATGCCTTCAAGTCACCTGTTGAATTATGGTGATGCCAGGAATTTCAGAAGGTTTTCTTAGGTAAGGGATACTCAGAGGTAGTTTTGCCAGCAGGAGCATCACCAGAGTGTGTGAGCAGCGTGGGCTGCACCAGGTGACACTCTATAGGCGGATAACACCATTGATATCCAAATGTCTGCCTTTTGGCAGAAACGGGCTGTGGCATTCACTTTGTTGTTGTTGTTGTTAACTGCCTTCGAGTCGATCTCAACTCAAGGTGACCCTATGGATGAGACATCTCCAAGAAGATCCCCTGTCCTCCACTGCTCTGCTTAAATCCTGCAACCCCTTAATATTTGTGACTAATTAATAGAGTCCATCCATCTGGCATGTGGCCTTCCTCTCTTCCTACTTCCCTCCACCTTTCCCAACATTCACCTGCATCACTTTAAACCTTGGAGCTCAGTGGAAGAGAAGGTGTGAGCAGGGCAAAGCTCAGTGAGTAGGGAAAGGAGAGATGTCAGGGATATATACAACCTATACATTATTGTTGTTTGTGTGCCTTTGAGTCATTTCTGACCCTAAGGCAAACCTGGGGTTTTCTTGGCAAAATGGAGGTTTGCCATTGCCTTCCCCTGAGGCTGAGAGCATGTGACTTGCCCAAGATCACCTAGTGGGTTTCATGGCCGAGCCAGGAATCGAACCCTGGTCTCCAGAGTTGTAGTCCACTCAATTACTCAAGAAAACAAAAGAAAATACAGATGTATCTGAAAACAGCATATGCTAAGCTATATTACATATGAGAGCCAGTGTGGTACAGTGGAGAGAGAAACTGGGACATTTTAAAAGCTGCTGTTTGTGATGAAAATTTTGTGCTGCTCTAATTTTTGTTTATGAAACTACTGCCAAGCAACATGCTAAGTGATGCACACCTCTTCTCATGGAATCATAGAGTTTGAAAAGACCCCAAGGCCCATCCAGTCCAGTCCCCTGCCATGCAGGAAGACATAGTTAAAGCACTCTTCACAGATAACCATCCATCCTCTGCTTAAAAAACCTTCAAAGAAGGAGACTCTACCACACGCTAAGGCAGCCTATTCCATTGTCGAACAGCTCTTACTGTCAGGAAGTTCTACCTCATGTTGAGGTGGAATCCGTCTTCCTGTAGTTTGAATCCAGTGCAGAAAACAAATTTGCTCCATTATATACCACACATGTAATTCTCACCATTGTGGATTTCCTGAATGTAGGGGAAAACTTTGTTGTTCTTGGGTTTTGTTCAGGAAACAAATAATGGTGAATATGCAATTAGGCTGCATCGATAGTAGTGTCATTTTAGATCAAGGGAAATAATAGTGGCACTGTATTCTGCTTTGGTCAGGCCTCACCTGGAATACTGTGTCCAGTTCTGGGCACCACAATTCAAAAAGGATGTGGAGAAACTGGAGCGTGTCCAAAGAAGGGCAACTAAAATGGTGAAGGGTCTGGAAACCATGCCCTATGAGGAACGACTTAGGGAACTGGGTATGTTTGGCCTGGAGAAGAGATGGTTAAGAGGTGATATGTATTTGAAAGGGTGTCATATTGAGGAGGGAGCAGACTTGTTTTCTGCTGCTCCAGAGAACAGGACCCAGAGCAATGGATGCAAGCTACAGGAAAAGAGATTCCACCTCAATATTAGGAGGAACTTCCTGACAGTGAGAGCTGTTTGAGAGTAGAACACACTCCCTCGTAGTGTGGTGGAGTCTCCTTCTTTGGAGGTCTTAAACAGAGGCTGGATGGCCATCTCTCGGGGGTGCATTGATTGAGAATTCCTGCATGTCAGGGGATTGGACTGGATGGCCCTTGTGGTCTCTTCCAACTCTATGATTCTATGATCTTCAGTATGACATCCCTTCAACTATTCAAACAGGGCTATCATGCCAATCTTTAACCATCTCTTATCTAGGCTAAACATACCCAGCTCCCTAAGCCACTCCTCATAGGACATGGTTTCCAGACCTTTCACTGTTTGGGATACTCTGCTCTGGACACATTCCAGCTTTTCAACATCCTTCTTGAATTGTGGTGTCCAGAACTGGACACAATATTCCATTTCTGGGCAGCACAGACATTCACACACACCAAGTTGAGAACTACTGCTTTACCCAACGTCCCCTTTTGCAATCTGGCACCATTTCCCCTGCACATTGCATGCGAGCCTGATTTCATGAAATGCCTCTCTGTTTTTCCTTCAGAGTGACCTTGTGTACAGGGCAAGGGCCTCCCACTCCAACTTGTTTTGTTTAACGGCTGTGATTTTGGCCTCTTTGGTGATTCTCCTGGACTCACAGCTGAGCCGCAGTGTTCTGCATTATGAATAGCACAATTCGGAACTTTATTCAGGGAAGGCCTACTTTCGGGAAGGGGGGATGTTGAATGCGTAGGAAGTTTGTGTGAGAAGCTGGAACTTCCTCACCCTGGGTCTCACAATCAATCAGTCAGCAACCATTTTATATGTTATGCTGGAAAGGGCGGGGGGGAGAGAAATGCAAAAGGAAGCAAAAACAACAACAAAAATTGACCCATTTCTAAGGGGAAACGCACTGATTGATGTTGTACTTACATATGTTTTACATACAGTGACACCGCAGTGTTTACTTCCATTTTTTAGTTACACAAGCCGAAGCAATAATCATTCACCACCTTAATATTTTGGGGAAAGGGGAGAAAAAAAACATTGTAGGTTTTCCAATGGGTGCGATTATACCAACAGGAAATCTGTCAATCCAGAAGCAGGACTGGGTTGCTCAATGAAGGGAGCAAAGGTGACAGACCTCAATGGCCTCACATTTAGAAGCCATGTTAGGAAAAGCCCCGGAGACCTGAGCCATTTTTCATCTGTTAACACTGGCCAAGGGACCGATATAAATGCCCACATGATCCAAATTAAATAAATGGAGCATGCCATAAATCTCAAAGGATCATAACTCACCCTGGTTGTCAGGAACTTCAAGCCAGGTGTTGGAATATTCTCAGTAAAAACATGTGGACATACATCAGCAAACTGCTTTTGACTCAACCATTTTCCAAACCAACCCAGTGCCTAGATTTAAAGTAAAAAGCAACACAGATTTATGTCCTGAAAGAGCTGGTAGTGGTGTGAATCTTACTGTGTCAGATTCAGATCTAGGAGATCAAGATGTCCATGGTTGTATCCACACTGTAAAATTAAAGCAGTTTAATACCATTTTAAGTGTCATGACTCTATCCTACAGAAATC